CGGACCGAGGAGCGGCGGGGACCCGGTGGGGACAGAACCGTTTCCAGAAAAAAAGAGGTTTTGGGATATCGGCTTTTTGTCTTATATCCGTTTTCTCTCTTTTTTTTTTTCGTTTTTTTCCTTTAAGGGGAAAGAAAATACGGAGAGAGCGGAGGGCAGAGGCGAGCGGGGGAACGGGAATCGTTGCGGTGTCGTCGCCAAGCCAGGAGCAAAGACCACCGGTACCCAAAACGGAAAACGAAATCGTGGGAGAAAGGTCCCGCCGGCACCCGGCATCCCCGGGGCGAAGTCCCTTCCCCGGGGACATGCCACCTGAGGGAGGAGAAGGAGGAAAAAGAGGAGGAGGAAGGTCAGGCCAGCGTTGCTAAGGATGCTTCGGTCTTTTCTCGGAGGAACGGCAGCGGCTGTGCCTCTGGCAGCGGAGAGGGGGGGAACAGGAGGGGAGCGGAGGGGATGCGGGGAGGCTCAGTGCGGGCGCTGCCGGTAGTTGCCATTGATCTCTTGGGAGATGGTGACGGCCTCGGCGCCCAGCGGCAGCTTGTCACTGTACTCAGAGCGAGGGTGGGGGACCAGGAGGGGAGCGGAGGGGATGCGGGGAGGCTCAGTGCGGGCGCTGCCGGTAGTTGCCATTGATCTCTTGGGAGATGGTGACGGCCTCGGCGCCCAGCGGCAGCTTGTCACTGTACTCAGAGCGAACCTCAAACTCCTCGCCGTTGGCTTTGGATTGTGACTCCACCATGGAGCTGGCCACCATGCTCTCCTCTCGCTCCAGCTCCGCAGCCCCTTCGGCTTCTCTCCTCCTCCTCCGCCTGCCTCCTTCATCCTCCTCCTCCTCATCTTCTTCCTCCACATCCGCTTCCCCCACCTCACTGGGATTGTAGTTCTTCTCAGACTCCAGGTAGGAGGCACGGGGGTCAAAGTCAGCGGCCATGTGCTTCTCCATCTGGTCCGGGTTCTGGGCCTTCATGATGAGCTTGTAGGTCTTCCCTTGGTACTTGGAGAGGAGGTGACACCATGTGGCCCCCATCAGGGGTAAGGTGGCCAGCACCAGCAAGAAGATGCTCACAACCACGATGATGATGAGCGAGGGGATCTCTTTTTTGGTGGTGAAGACCACTTGGACCTGGCAGTCCTCCCCCAGGTAGGTGAGACACACGGAGTAGTTGGTGCCGGGGTTCAAGCCCTGGAACCAGTACGAGTTCACCCCTTCCTCGATCTTGGACCACTGGACCAAGGCGTGGCCCTGGCTGCTCTCCTGGCACAGGTAGAGCATTCTGAGGTGGACCTTCTCGGGCTGCATGTAGGTGGGCGTGAGCTGCACCCGGGCATCGCGCTCCGACACATCTAAGGCGATCACCCCCAGGTCGAATGTGTGCTGCTTGAAGTCACCGCTCTGGTTGAAGGCGTGGTTGGAAATGTACTTGCTGGTTTGCGTGGAGCCACACTTCTTCTCAAAGGGTGGAAGCTGGAAAGGGACTTGCCCACCTCCTGTGGACTCTGTCCCAGCTGCCAAAGATGGTTGGCTCTGCCGAGTGGGACCGAGGGGTTTGTTCCTGTCATCTGGCATGAGCACACTGTTCTTTGCTCCCTTGGCTCCAGGCTTCTTGTCACCTGGCTGTGCTTTACCCCCCAGTGGGTCCCTCCCGGGCTGCAGCGCGTATTTCTGGGTGCCCGCCACGGCCACGTTGACCGAGGTCTGGTTGCTCCCCATTTCATTGGTGGCCAGGCAGGTGTAGGTGCCTTCTTCCCGCTTGCTCAGGTGGGGAATCACCAAGGTGCCGTTCTTGAAGACCAAGAAGCGCTCAGGATCCTGTTTGGGGAGGTCCTTCCCAGCGCCCTCCTTCGGGTTCCCGTTGAGCTCCAGGGTTTGGCTGGAGGTGAGGATCTTCCAGCTCACTTCGGGTGGTGGGGTGCCGGTCACGGCACAGTGCAGCGTCAGAGTGAAGCCATCAAAGAGCTCCGTGATGTCCAGGTTGGGGTAATACGTGAGCTGCACAGTAGGTGAGGTGCACTGCACGTCTGGGATCTTCCCCACTGGCACTCCTCGGAGCTGCTCCGGGAGGGCACAGGCGATGGAGTCCTTCTCAGGGATGGAGATGAGCGTTCTGTCCATCCACTTCTTCAACCACTGGAGCTTGCAGGAGCACTCGAAGGGGTTGTTGTAGATCTGCAGGTGGGAGAGGGAACTAAGCGAGTCGAAGATACCTTCTGCAAGGGCGGTGAACTTGTTGTTGTTGATGCGTAGGGACCGGAGGTCCTTCAGGGTGTGGAAAGCCCCCTGAGGCACCAGGGCCATGTGGTTATTGTTCATCTTGAGCAGCTGGAGAGCACTGAGGTTGTGGAGGTCCTGCCAGGGGAAGTCCACAATCTGGTTGTGGCTAACGTCGAGGTTTTTCAGCTGCACCAGGATGGCGAAGGTACCGGGCTCGATAGAGCGGATCTCGTTGTGTGCCAACCAAAGGGAGGTGACCTGGGTCACCTCCACGAAGGAACGCCTCTGCAGCGAGGTGATCTTGTTGGCTGAGAGGCTGAGGGTGGTCACGTTGGAGGGCAACCCTGTGGGCACCACCTGAAGATCCTTGTAGGCGCAGTCGGCAAACTGGTGGGCGTACTTGTCCACGCAAGCGCAGGGCTCGGGGCACGCCCGGGCCATGCTGACCAGGGCCACCAGCCACAGAGGCAGCAGGGGGGCCATCCCCCCC